AACTAGTCTAGAAGTAGAGGTAGTTAATACGTAGTTACTAGTAAGTGTTTCTAGTAACTACGTATTAACTACCTTTTTCTACTAGCTTAAGCTAAAGAAAAAGAGATAGAAGGTAATACTAGTTATATATTCTACATTAGCTAGTAGTAAAAATTAGGTAGCTATATAGAGGCTAATAATGCGCTTCTTCCTATATAATAAAATATAACCCTTTTATTTTTAAGTATTACTACCTATCTGCTAACCCTAACATGCTAGCAGGCTTAGAAGACTAGTAGAAGAACTAGTCTAGAAGCAGAGGTAGTTAATATATAGTTACTAGCAAGCGTTTCTAGTAACTATACACTAACTATATAATTACTTAATCTTATATATTATCTACCTATCTAAACAAACCTATGTACTTCCTAAACAGTATATTAAACTATTTTATTTACCTATAACTTAGTCTAACTTCTTTTATAATATCTTTATTAGAATATTACTAGTTTTATAAGAGTATTAATATCTAGATCTATATAGATTTTAAAGAATATAAGACAACCTTAAAGTTACTTCTTTAAATATTATTCTTTGTATAATATAATAACTATATTAGATAAAGCTCTAGTAGAATTATTTTATACTAACCTCTAAACTAGAGGATTAAAATATAATAGTTTATTAATTATTAATTAACTTTAAATATTACTTGCAATACTCTAAAAGCCTAGATTACAATCTTCTTATCTTTAACTATATATTATAAGTCTATAATTAACAGTAATATAGTTATATAGTAGTATTTCTTTCTTAACTATTATAACTTGTCTTTTAACTTATATCTATTTATTAATATTCTTTATTTGTTTTGTAAACTATAATAAATAAACTAAGGTAGATAATTAAAAGCTAATTTACTAATTTAAGCGTTACTTAGTAGACTATACCTATATATAATAAGTTTATATAACTTTCTACATCCTCTTTTTATTTTCCTTATTATTACTATTTAAACTATAGCTAACCTATCTCTATTTACTATTATAGAGAAAGCTTCCTCTCTTACTTTATCTTTACGCTGCTCTATATTAATAGCAGATTTCTTTAGAAGTATAAACAGTATTACTCTACAAAGTTAAAGAGTTAGTCTAGCCCTAAGTTTTATACTAGTTACTTACTATTATCTTCTAGACCTAGCTCTTCTTATCCTTAACCCTTTATTCTCTTTAAGAGAGCTCTCTCTTTTTAGACTAGTTAGATAATAATTCCTCTAGTAACTACTTAGGCTCTAACTAGTCTTAACTAGAAGAGTCTAATATTAATGTTAATCTTATATACTAGAGTAATAGTATAGATAGGAATACTAATTCTCCTATCCCTACAACTAAGAATAACTACAAAAGACAATAATATATAAAATAAGAAATCCTATAATTATAACTTTAGTATAAGAGCAGCTAACCTAAGTCTTTACTAGCAGTATTTTTAAGTCCTTACAAATAGAGACCTTTCTCTGTAACTACTATACTTTAAATAAGCTCTCCTAGTTTAACTTATAGAGATTAGTAATATATGCCTCTACTAATACAATAAATACTAAGCTATAGGCCTTCTAGAACTCTGCTAGCCTAACGTAAAAAATAGTTCTAAGCTAGAAATTATTCTACTCCTTAGCAACGCTATACTCTAACCTAAAGGAGGTAAACAACTATAACTCTACAGTTAGGTACGCCTTCTTAAGAATAAGTCTAGATAAATAAGAGTTATAAGGCCTCTTTAAGCCTACTAAAGCTAGTTTCTTCCTAAGTATATATTCCTTCTTAAATGCCTACAAGATCTACGCTAGATCCTAGAAGTAGTTATAGTTTACCTAGGCAAAGATTACCTTCCTTAGATCTTAGCTCTATTCTATATCTAGCTAATAACTAGTTTAGCTCTAAGCTATCTTTACAATTAGTAAAGCATCCTAATATATACACTATAAGTAGTTAGTTAGCTATCTACTATTTCTTTAAAGTATTTACTAATATACTATTATAGAAGGAGATTACCCTTATCTAATTAGAGGTTAATCTTATATTTATAGGTAGTATAGACTTACTAGGACACAAGAGTATATAGATGCTAGTAATATACTATCTTATATATAAGCTATACTAAGAAACTTAGAAATATCTCCTAGATAGATATAATAGCCTAGACAGTATAAATAGCTATAAGGCCTATATATTTAAGGTTATTCTTTCTATCTAGAAGATTACTTACTTAATAGCTGCTAGGCTGCAGTATTTACTAAAGGATAGACTATACGCTTAGAAATCTCTCTATATAAGTATAACTAAATTCCTTATAAACTAAGATACTCTAAGGATTATAAGACCCTCCTAGCATAACTTTTCTATAAGGATAAACTTCTATATATTTAGTAACCTTATCCTAGCTATTCTTTACCTCTAGTGCCTAGGCCTATCCTAAATCTATTAAACTACTACAGTATTTAAAGATAATAATAAGGCTATAGCTATATAGGCCTTTCTTTCTGCCCTTTCTAAGTAGTTAAGGCATTTAGAGTTAATTATAAATAATTATATGTATAGTACTGCGTTTAGCTCTCTAGAACTACTTCCTAAGGTAGGCTAGTAAGCTATACACGTATTTAACATTATAAGATAGATATAGATAGAGATTAGTGTAGTAGTAAACTTATAGATAAGAGAGGTTACTAGCCTTCTTTCTATCTTAGAAAGGGTAATCTTAATAAGAGAAAGCTCTAAAGCTAATCTACCTACATATACCCTTTAGAATAACGTTAAGTATACCTACTCTAGTAGCAATGCGTAGATGCGTTAATATATAAATACCTAGAGAGCAGTCTATACTATTAGCTTTATACATAGACTAAACAAAAAACAATAAAAAGCCTTTAATAAGGTAGCTCTTAATCTATATAGAGTTATAACCTTATCTCTTAACAGTACTATTATTAAAGAGGAGAATTTACTATAGTATTTTATTTATTATTATAGCTATTACTCTTACGTTTAGGCTACCCTAGAGCTTTTTCTTAAGCTAGAATTCTAGTTTAAAAAGCAAAGTCCTCTTAGAGCTATCTCTACAACAGCTACTATTAATAACCCTAAGGTAGAGATAATAAGAAGGCTTCTACTACTTCTAAGCCTACAGAAGTTCTCTCTTAAGGAGGTTACTAGATTTCTATATCTTATAAAACAGGCGCCTTAATTTAGAAGGATATATAATAGAATCCTATAGCTACCCTAGCGTATACTTTTCTTATTATAAGTGTATATTATATACTAGTATAAGAATAGAAATCTCTTTAAAAAATTATATAAATAGAGCTAATATCTATATACCTTATAATAGGATTTATGTAGCTAATTAGCCTATCTAAACCTATATAGGCTATATATTATTTCCTAGCTTTAACTCCTTTCTAGCTACTTTAAAGTAATAAGAGTAATATAACGTTATTTAGTAAGATACTAGTAATCTACGCCTCCTTTTAACCTCCTTTAAAACTATATATAAAATACTAACTACTTTAGGTTTAGGGTAGTATATTCCTTCTGTTAATCCCTTAGTAAGTAAGATAAGAGGATAATGCGTTATATTACCTTACTTATTAAATAGAGCTATAGCTCTACTCCTACCTAAATTCTAGATTCCCTTAATAACCTACCTTTTTCTAATAAGATTAATAGTCTACTATAACTTCTACTTACTCTCTATCTATCTATACCTTTTACTATAACTTCTTTAACCTAGCTTTGTAGCCTAGTTATAACTCCTTATAAAGTTAATTAGAACTATATTAGCTACTTTACCTATACTTCTCTCTACTTAGATAAATAATATAATACTAAGTTTATAACATACTAGTTCTACTTTACTAAGCTAGCAGAATACTATAGCCTCTCTTTACTAGCCTATAGTAACTAGCTATTTATAGCCTATAATCTAGAACTAGCACTACAGTAGATCTACTAGTACAGCTAGCTTAATAAGCTTCTTCTTACTCTAAAGTAATACCTTCTAGAAGGAGTATTTCTTAATAACTAAGTTGCCTCTCCTAAGACCCTACTAAGGCTAATCTACCCTAGCAAGGTAGTAATAGTTAATAACTCTAGATATAGAAGCTTACCTTACTCCTACTAGACTATATCTAATATAGGTAAATTAGTTAAGATTATAAGTGCCCTCTTAGTATTTAATAATAAGCAGCTGCCTACTACTCTCTAGTATAGTATAGCAAGAGTTATTATTAAAACAAATCTAAAGATACCTATAAAAGAGGAAGCTAGCAAGGAAAGTAGTAATAAGAATACTAATATAGAGGGTAAAGATAATAATAAGGCTATTATAGCAACAGAACAAAGTTAAATTATAAAATATATACTACTCCTAGAATTAAAAGTAGAGGAAGAGAAGATAGAGGAGTAGGTAGAGTAGGTAGAAGAGTAGGCAGAAGAGCAGAAAGAGAAGATAGAAGAGTAGAGAGAGAAGATAGAAGAGTAGAGAAAGAAAACAAAAGAGCTAGAAGAAAAGAAATTAGAAGAGCAGCTCTCTAGAGTAATAACTACTATTCTAGATAAAACTACTATATAATAAGAAGAAAAAGTAGTAAGAGAAGAAGAAGAAGAAAAAGAAGAGGAAGAAAAGGAAGAAGAAGAAAATATAGTAATAAATATTTCTACTATAGAAGAAGAAGATAGTTAAGAAGTTACTACTATTAAGTAGGAAGTTATTACAGTTAAGGAAGAGGCTAAGGCTAAAGTAGCTATAGAAGTAGCTATAGTTAAGAAAGAAGTAGCTATAGAAGTTATTATAGAAGTAGCTATAGTAAAGAAAGAAGTAGCTGCAGAAGTAGCTATAGAAGTAGCTATAGTAGAGGAAGAAGTAGCTATAGAAGTAGCTACAGAAGTAGCTACTATTAAGAAAGAAAAGGAAGAGAAGGAAGAAGTTATAGAGGTTACTACTAAGGTTATAGAAGTTACTACTAAGGTTACTGTAGTTAAGGCAGAGATACCTACTAGGAAGCGTCAGCGTATAGATTCTCTTAATACTACCTATTCTAGGCAAAACTAAGGCTAGCTAGAATTATAAGCAGAGTTAGGCTCTAGCAGTTTTAGTAATTTACTACTACTACCTATATACGCAAAGCTGCTAAATCCTATAAAGAAAGTATAAGCCTAGCTACGCAGCCTTATTACTCTATAGGCTCTACAGTAGATCTTATATATATAAGACTACGCTTATAAGGACTCTAGAAGCTATATATAAGCCTTATAAAGAAAGTAGAATAAAGCTTCTTCTTCTCCTAGTTCTTCTAAAGTATTAGATAAGTTCTATACCTACTTTAACTATATTACTAGCATAGTTAATAAGAGTACAGCCTAGGTACACTTCTAGACCTTTATTACCTATATAAAGCTAGTTAAGATAGAAATAACTCTTTAGAATTTTACAGAATAAAGTACAAAGAATATAAGGCCTTAGCAACCTAGTAACTCTAACTATAATATAGCTAAGGTATATTATATAAAGTAAAAGTATAGCCTAGGTAACTATAATAAGAGCTCTACCTACTATAAAGCCCTAGGCTAGTTTTAAAAGCGTATCTAAGAAGCCTGCTTCTAGTCTTAGCTATTATAGTAGGGCTATTACCTAATTATTCTTATACTTACTGCCTACCTTAGCTTCTCTAAGCTTAGAAAGACTCTTAGTTCCTACTTTAGTACTCTAGGCTATAGGAAGCTAATTATAGTCCCTTTTACAAAACTATATCTATCCTTACATAGCCTATCTAAGGTAATAAAAAAGAGTATTAATAAGTTCTTACTTAGAGGTAATAAGGGCTTAAAGCTTACATTTACATACGTATACTTACTACAAGATAAGTATATAGCCTAGAAGGGCTTTAGTATAATAGTAGCTAGTAACCTAGATAAGGAAATTAAAACTATCTAGATTATATAAAAGAAGCCTACTAGTAAGCTAGAGGAGCCTACTAGTAAGCTAGAAGAGTTAGCTAGTAAGCTAGAAGAGTTAGCTAGTAAGCTAGAGGAGTTAGCTAGTAAGCTAGAGAAGTTAGCTAGTAAGCTAGAGGAGTTAGCTAGTAAGCTAGAAGAGCCTCTTACTCCTGTAAGGAGACCTAAGGAGCCTTCTATAGAATCTAACAGAAAATACTCTTCTAATAGCCTAAGAGACTCTTTCTACAGGTCTTCTAGAGCCTCTTCCTATAGGTCTTCTAAGGCGTCTAGAAAGAAGCCCTCTAAAGAGTCTTAATAAGAACCTTTATAGAAATTATTATAAAGAACTGCTAGGAAATTATTTAGAAGATAGTCTAGAGTTTAGTATTAGAGAATAATATTAGCGCTTAGAGTATCTATAATATATATCCTAGTTCTTATTAATTTCTAATACTATATCTACTCTAAGAGCCTATACTTTACTTTACTAGTAACTACAGTAAACTATAAAGCAGGTACTAAGAGCTTACTTAATAGGTATAATAGAAGAAGTAGATAATTCCTATCTACTATATAAACTATCTCTTCTACACTCTTTTCTTACACTATTCTACCTATCTTCTTTCTGCTAACTTACACTCTCTAGCTCTGCACTATTTTTACTATTATTTAACTATCTAACTAGAGTTACTATTACTATACCTTCTCCTAAAAGAAAGGCAGAGGACAGCCTAAAGAACTTAATACGCGTAAGATATTAAGCTATATACAGCTAGAATTACTGCAAAAGAAGAGAGGGAAATCTTATATTTAGGTTCTAGATTCTACCTAGCTTTACTCTCCCTACACTACTATTATTACTACTGCCCTAGGTACTACAGCACAAGAATAGCCCCCTTAGCAACTAGTAAAATAAATCTTTCTTTTCTTTAGGCCTATTCCTAGAAAGCTGTACCTCTAGTACACCTATATATAAAGTATACCTAATAGGAGAAGCATATATAATACTGCCTAAAGAAGAATAGCTAAATTTACTATATCTAATACCTACGCTAGCTACACTAGACCCTACAGATATAGAAGAGCTAGGCCTATACGCATTTAAGCCTAATACAGAAGTAGAAGAATCTAATACAGGCTACCTAGATAATAGATAGCTAGATCTGCCTATAGCAGAGGAGGTAGAGAGCAGCCTAGGCAATAGTAATAGCCCTAGCCTACACCCTCTTTTAGTAGACAGCATAGAAATCCTAAGTAGAATAAGTTAGCCTACTAGTCTACTTAATAGGAGAGAGCTACCTCCTAGGCAAAGAGAAGTAATAGATACTCTTAGTACTATATTCTTATTCTATTATTATATATATAGTAAGTTCCTATACTACCTCCTTCTTAGCCCTATACTTATATATTTGTGTAGCAAGCAGCTAGCTAAATATTACTACTAATACACTAGGGGCATAGATGCTAGTACAGGTTAGCAAGCAGATTAAGAGCCTAATCCTAGTAGAGCTAAAAGACAAGGATAACATACCTATAGCTACTCTAGCTAGATTTCTCCTGTCTAATAAAACTACGTAATTAAGCTAGTCTTTGCCTTCCTAGCTCTCTAAGCAGATCTAGTAGAATAAGCTGCTTACTAGCTGTAGAATACTTAGCCCTAGATAGGTACTACTAAAACTAAGCCTAGAGAAGTTAGAGTAGGCGTTCTAGACTCTCTAGCAACTTATAGTACAGAAGGGCGCTCTTAAGTAGTAGTTTAATATAAACAGTATAACCTTTAGAATAAGAAGCCTTGCTATCTACTAGATAGCTTTCTATATATATTAGTATCTAAACTACCTACAGTCTATCTAGTAAGATTAAAAGGTAAAGATAGCTAACTAGGAGGCCCCTATATACTATATAAAGTATATTGCGCTTAGATATAGTATCTTTTTAGCTAGCTATAACTTTACTACCTACCTATTCTTTTCCTACTACCTATTTATTAAGAGCAAGAGCTACTAAGATACTGTTAGCTACCTAGACAATAAGTTACTAGAAAGACTATTTAACTAGGCTATTTATCTAGCCCTATACAAAGAGGTAAGAATAAATATTACACAGTACTATCCTACTAGCTTCTAGAATATATGCGCAAGAGTATATGTTAAGGCAGAAATAGAGTAAGGGGTAGGTAATACTACTAGCATTATATTAGCTAACCTAATTACAGAGAAGGACCTAGATAGGCTCTAAGTAAATATCTAGCAGCGCTGCTCTACTATTATAGGTACCTATAACAGCTAGAGGAACGTCTTTTGTAAGCTGCAGCTTATTATCTAGGCCTATAATATTAAGCTTTAAGGTACCTACTCTATATTACAGCTATAGACCTTCTACGTATTTAACTAGATAATAAACACTATATTCTATATAGAGTGCCTAGGCTACGTAGATTAGCGCTACTACTAGGTAGATCTTACTTAAGAGGTAATTACTAGCTAGCCTAGCTATACTATCCTAGAAAAGCTAGCCTGTCTCTATAAGTAGGTTAGAGATAGCCTACAGAAGCTAGGGTAGCCTAAGAACTATGCTACTACCTATCCTATAAAAGAGTTATAGAATATAGGCACTCTTACTATTAAGCTATATAAGCAGTCTAACCTGCATACTAGTAGGATAGTAGATATTAAGGCCTATAATATTAATAAGGAGCAGTTTACAGTACCTATTAAGAACTACCTCCTCTTTAGAAAATAGGCCCTAGAAGGACTTAGCCTCTCTAACTCTAGGCTGTAAGAGTAGTATTAACAGGAGATAGAAAGAAACTATATAGATAGAGTAAGCCTCTAGCGCCTAGTATCTATATATAAAAGTATAAAGTGCTAGGTCTAAAGCGCACTCTCTAGATCTAGCTAAGCTAGGTACTTTTATAGTATATAGAAAGAGTACTATATTACCTATAAGTTATTTACAGCCTATATCTACAGTATAGTGCTACTAGCAGTACTCTTAGACAGCCTAGGCCTACGCTAAGAGGCAGACGTAGAGTAAGAGTAGAGAAAGGCTAGGCTAGAAGACTAGCGTAGAAGTAAGTAAAGTATAGTAGAAGAAAGAGACCTAACACTAATAACCTACTTTCTCTTCTAGATTCTTAACACAGAAGAGCTTAATTACTTCTAGATAGTAGATATAAACTACTAGCTAGCTTACCTAGAGTCTATTATTAAGGTTACTACTAAGTATACGCTAGGCTCTAAGGCATCTAGTGCACTAGACGTAGATAAGGACTAACACAGCACCCTTACCTTAGCTATACTACGTCTTCTTAACGCTAGTCTAGGATACTACACTATAGATAGAAGTATATAGCAGAGTGTTTCTAGAAAGTAGAGAAAGAAAAAGAGGCAGTAAGAGTAGTTTAGTAGCTAGGACACTAAGAAGCTTAAAAAAGGCCTTAATATAAAGCAGGTTATTAAGTAGTATAGTATAATATAGCTACTACTCTATAGTGCCTCTAGCTATAGGCTACTTCTTGCTAGCTAGACTAGCCTACTATAGATTTACCTACACCTACAGTAGCTACTAGCTGTTAGTAACACTAGCCTATAAGATATATTTTAACAGAAGAATATTTTCTTTAAGGCTAGCTCTAACCTTAACCTCTAACTTTAGGTACTAGGCTAGTATATTAATAGTCTTGCCTAGAAGAGTAACCTGCGTAACGCTTCTCTACAGTATAAGATCTACTAAGCTACTACAGAAACCTACGTTAAGAAATATAACTAGTAGATATAAACAGTTCTATAGAAGTAATAAAAGGACTATATCTATATTACCTCTAGGTTAGCCTTACTACGCTTCTTTTCTAGTAACTTTAAAAGCTTTATTACCTACACTAAAGGTAGTAAGAACCTAGTAGATAGATTTATCTACCTAGGCTATAGCTAGATTACCTCTATCTTTACCTCTACGTTACTAATACATATAGTAGCTGTCTAGTTATAAATAGGTAAGGCTTAGCAGTTCTCCTAGCACAGCTCTAGCCTATAGCAGGACTATATCTGCTCTCTCTTTATCTAGAAGCCTAGCTAGTTTTAGTATACAAAAGGCCTCTCCTTCTACCTACTCTACATTAGTTTCT